TAGCAACCTGTAAGATCATTGGGTCTCAAAAGCAGGACCGTTGGATCCTTGACAAGAAGAACAAGCAGCTCATCCGTGTGCACATCACGCCCCGAAAGGCGCTGTTCACACCAAATGGAGCCAAGGAATGTCCAATCAATCCTGACCACATTAGCCGAGAACGTACCACGGAAATCATTGACGCATCCGCAGGTGGAGATCCAGATATCTTAGAAGACAATTGGAGACTTACATCCCAGGCAAATAAACCAATGATTAACCTGTTGATAGGTAAGACCATTTTCACCTTCTTGGACAATTCGCTGAAGGACGTAGAAGCAGGTTCAGGATCGGCAGCAGACAGGATCATCGACAAGAGGGCCCAGTCGACTATTGAGCCAGATCCTTTCGCACCATCCTCAGAAGAACCAACATCGCTTCCGCTTGCCCTAGGCAGAATCCACAAGCGATTGTCAAATCCAGAAGAGTTGAAGAAACTCCACCTGCAGCATCATCACATGACAACAGATCAATTTCGATTTAGAACCCGAGCACTTCATTTGCCGAAATCAACATTCGATCTATTTGACAAGATCCGAAGTGAGTGTGAAGTTTGCCAAGTGGCGAAACATGCACCATCACGAAGCAAGACAAGCGGACTTCGAGCGGACACCTTTGGTGACATGACATTCATTGATCACTGTCAAGTTCCTCTTGGAACAGGAGAACACATCATTGTTTTTGTCATCCTGGATGGAGCAACAACATTGCTCACTGCAGAGGCAGTGACAACTACGCAAGAAGTCGAGAACATCACTGTCCTCAGGAACTATTTTGACCAGTACCACTTGCAGCCCAAATCAGTTGTCGCAGATCAAGCCTTCATGACAGATACATGGGAACATTTCTATCAGTCCCTTGACATCACTCCGATATCTTTGGGACCGAATACACCATGGCCAAATCGAGCTGAAGCAGCAGTTCGACTCCTGAAGGCACAACTCAAGATCATGCTGAGTTCCATCAAGGCAGGCACTGCACCTGCAACACTGAAGAAAGTGACCTACAGGCAACTAGTGAAGGCCGCTGCAACTGTCAGGAATCAGACCGTCACCTACGGGGGAGTAACACCATTGGAGCTCGCATTCGGAAGACGACCAGCAGATCTCATCCAACTCGATGTCGCAACTCCAACTCAGTTGACGATTGACAGGAATGAAGAAGAGATGACAGCCATCCAGATCAAGCAGCTGTCAAAGCAAGCTTTCCAAGAAGCACGTCAATCCAAGGACAGACCTTGCTCAAAATCTCCGAATGAGTTCAAAGCCTCTTCAGGTGAAGGACAAGGTATTCTACTGTACACCAATGCTCAATCCGAAGTTTACGGAACCGACATCATCCCGATGGTATGCCACAACGGCAACATTGATCTCGATAAGACCGTCCAGAATGTCGAGCAGGTTTGCAAATACTTCCGCATGGAAACATCCAAGACGAAACAGATCACAGATCTCATCCTCTGGCGAATTAAGAGAATGAGCAGATCGTTTCCGGATGTCTTCGACATGATCCAAGGCATGGAATCCATAAGGAATGCAAACGGCAGGTGGAAATGGGTCCTGATGGATCCGTCGAGCTCTATGATGCATTGACCTGCATCACACATGCCAGGAACTTCATTGGAAATAAGCCAGGACTTCTCTTGATGGCTATGTTCCCGAGCTCTGGAAAATCACGTTTCGAAATTGCGTTCGTATTTCCATCCGTGGACGGGACATATAAAGAGCGCAAGGCACGGGGAGAAATTGTTCCAAGGAATCGATGGATCGACAAGCTCAACACCAGATCCGCACAAAATGCACTCAGGCCCGACGGCAAGGACTTCTATGTTGATCCAGAGATGGAGTTCTATGTCACGACAAGTCGATATCCAATCCTTTGGACGACCCCTGTTCTCTGAGCAGAAGGAGCCTCATTACGACGAACCGGACTATGATTTGCCAACGGAATCCATTCCGCCAAGTCCGCGTCCGTCAAGATCCGAGGCGCCTCATGGAGATGAAAGCACAGCTCAGCCCAAGTACAGAATGCGAAGGCCGGCACCACCATCCGTTGAAGAAGAGAGAAAGATCAAGCCGTTCTCGAAGAAGCCCATCACATTCATGTTCCATGCAACCTATGGAAATCAGCTCTACAGCATCATGGAGCACGGGCTCAAATCTGGGAAGCCCCAGTCAAACCCTTCGGGGAGAATGCACGTCCACATGGCATGCATCGATGACGTCATCCTCGAAGACGATGAGTCAGAAGCCGCATTGACCCATGTGCCAGCAGGAAGAGATGCGCTGTTGATCCTTGCATTTCTCAAGGACCAAGACTATGGCATCCGCCTCTCCGAAGAGAGAACAGCGTTGACAGACAAAACCATCAAAACCATCGAGGCAAGAAACATTGTTGCAGCATTTGAACCCGATGGCAGCCTCATGGCGAGCAACAAGTGGATCATGAAGAAGCACCTCGATTATGAAGACTTCGACATGTGTGACACCAAGATCCGCGAATTCGCCGATGCCTTCTTCAAGCATGTGAATTCCACCAAGCACAACAAGGAAAAAGATACTTCCTCAGAGACCAAGAAGAGACGGCATTCCACCGATCAGGACTCCACCAAAGGAGAAATGATGGAACCCTCCGGGGAAAGATCCGTCAAGCCGAAGGTCATCGTGGAATATCACAAGTCAGAGAACCTAGAAGAGTTCATCCAAGAACTCAAGGGAATCTATCTCGAAACAGATATGAACAAAAAGGGCGCAGAGGAAGAGCTCGCGGGGATCAAAGAAGAACTCAAACGCTTCATGAACCAGTTCAACAAAGATCCGAAAGGAGCTCATCCCAATTTGACAGAGTGCGAGAGAGCCTCATTGGCACATGTCGATCCTGATGTCAATCTCGGTGAAGAAGAAGTCTACTGCCCTCATCGAGGAGAATGTCCCACCGTTGACGAGTACAAGCAAGCTCAACCAGGATCCGGATATCCGATCAAGCTACCGCTTGGATTGAAGAAGCTCAGGTCACAAGATGACCCGAAAATCATCCAAGCCTATGCCGATATCCTGGGATCGCTGATGCAGCCGACTGACCGTCCTTCCGTGGACTATCTCAACATGCATGAGTTCACCTCATCCATAGCGATCAACACGCTTACCCTGAACCATGGAAACCTCACAAGGAATCCAAAGTTGGACAACAGGGAGGTGTACAACCTGCCGATGAAGGATCGACCGATCGTCAAGATGATGATGCAGAACAGTGCACACATGTTATGCCTGAATGAAGCAGACGCATTCTTCAGTCCGAATGATGAGAAATCCAGGGAGCTCATCAAGACGTTCATCCGATACGGTTACAAGGGCATCGTGATCAAGCAATGGTCATCCAGACCGATCGCATGCTTTGTCCGCGGCGGACCCTCTGCACGAGTGGAACTTCTGGCAAGACACATTTCCACCAGGAGCCAGAATTGGGGAACCACATTCGGAATGTTCAGATGATTCTTCGGAAGTAAAGGAGATGGCACTGATCCCGAATACGAAATTCCGACCTCGGATTGCTTGGCAACCACAGGAACATCCATGTTTACCGAATCCAAGAAGTACATTGGATCGAGATTGCCAGCACGCACCATTGTCCAAGGACATGGCCGAGACAAGGAGATCGTCGTTCTCCACATCGAGCAGAGTGATGAGTTTCGTGGCATGATCCCGAAATCATCCGACAAGTCATACTACGAGTATGACGACCGCCACATAACGAGGGCAGATCTACCATTCGCAACCATTGGAGTCTTCCACATCCATCCTTCACTTAGCCATGGAGCAGCAAAGGAAGATCTTCAGAATGAAATCATGCCGCTCGTGACCTTGTACCGATGTGATGCGATCACCGGAGACGCCAACAAATCGGCGAACACCTACAGCAAACTCCAGCATGTCTACAATCCAACCAACGGTCTCGTGAACATCCTCATGAGAGCATATCAGAGACTGTGGAAAGCGACGAAGAATTTGCCACTCGTGGACAGAATGGAGTATGCAGTGGAGACTTCGTGCGCCCTGAAATCCATTGTCCGTCATCACCTGCACATGAAATGCGGATCAGGTTTTGATCGAACATTCCCAGATGTGATGATAACTATCGTATTTGGGTGGGGCAAAACGAACATCCAGCAGGATTTCCGGAAGGTCGAGATGAACGGTATGGATGATGAACAACTGGAATTCATGCGGAACCATCCAACCAAGGCCATATTCGATTACCAGGTCTCATCCGCAGAGCGCTACAAGCACGTGAACAATGAACTGTTCATGAACGGCTAGCACCACGAGCAATCCAGATGATTGATCCTCCTCGTCTACAAGACTATACCATGAGTGAGAGATCAAGAGTTTCACAATTGTTCCGCGTGTACATAGCGTTGTACATCACCCTTTGATACAATTAGGTATCCAAAAGAAGCGCACATAGTGTTTCCCATTTCGAAGGCCAAGACATTTCATCCAAGCAGAAAAAGGATGAATCCGGCACTTTTAATCACATGGCTACGGCGCACATCAAGGCTACGGTCAAAGGCCATGAAGCCAATAGTATTTCATACTTTGTGCTGGAGATCAAAAGAAATTTGTGTCTGTTTTGTGTTCTGTTTTTCAGACCATTGATCTCCCGCAACATTTGGCTCAAGGGCCCCTTTTGCATAATCACGACCATCCGAGCGTGAAGACAAAAGAGCCATTGCAGGCCGCTTACAGGATTATCCACAAGACAATCCACCAGGGACAATCCATCCTCCAATCATCCATTACTGGCATATTGGACTCTCTCCGGAATAGATCCAGGGACCAACAACGACCTCAACTACCACAGGGTGCCAGTTCCCTCCGGGGATAGGCACCTGGCAGTGGGCCTCACCCCCCCCTCCCCCTAATAAAAGTTATTAATCTGCAGTTCCCATCACACCTGGGAGCAAAGTATGCGGCCACTTTGACCCCCGCGCCATCTGGTTGAGCATAACGTCAAAGATGCCATCACAGGCGAGGATCAGCCAGTCTCCCCGTTTGGCATGCCAAGTGTACACATCCGGTACACAGGAGACCTTCTGGTCCTGTCGAAGGATGGAAATGCATTGAACATAGCTCCATACACTAGCCACAAAAAGCATGTCCTCCGGGCGACGATCCGCCTGCTTGAGCTCAAACGAGCCCAGCGCGCGGCTGCACGAAAGGACCCCATCGACTCGCGGTGGGTTGTCCTGGTGAAACCAAGGAGGATCCGGCAAGGCGGGACAACCTCAACACATGCAAGCAAGCCAAGCCAAGCCAGCAAGCAAGCAAGCAAGCCAAGCCAAGCCAGCAGCAAGCAAGCAAGCAAGCAAGCAAGCAAGCAAGGCAAGCAAGGCAAGGCAAGGCAAGGCAAGGCAAGGCAAGGCAAGGCAAGGCAAGGCAAGGCAAGGCAAGGCAAGGCAAGGCAAGGCAAGGCAAGGCAAGGCAAGGCAAGGCAAGGCAAGGCAAGGCAAGGCAAGGCAAGGCAAGGCAAGGCAAGGCAAGGCAAGGCAAGGCAAGGCAAGGCAAGGCAAGGCAAGGCAAGGCAAGGCAAGCAAGCAAGCAAGCAAGAGAGAAGGCAAGAGAGCAAGGCAAGGCAAGGCAAGGCAAGGCAAGGCAAGGCAAGGCAAGGCAAGGCAAGGCAAGGCAAGGCAAAGCAGGCAAAGCAGGCAAAGCAGGCAAAGCAGGCAAAGCACACGAGCCCAAAAAGCAAGAAAGCAAGACAGCTCGAAGTTATCAGTTCATCTTCTTATTTGGAATTGCAGCGTAACAGCATAAAGCAAACATACGCCGGGGCAGTGTTCCATTTAGCTGGTGTCAATAAAGTCAATCACAAACAAGTTTAGACTCCGGACGGTTGGGTTTAAAGCCCCTACCCCTTTTGGGCTGGGCGCGGGTGTTTGAACATGCGTGAGCTTGATTGGGCATCGCTGCTTGTCACCGGCAAAAACATGTGTGCCAGTATGCCAGTGCCCGTCTCCACCCTCCACTCTGCTCCGGGGTCCTTGGTGACTTCGCCGCCAGCCAGCTCGATCCTGTGACGCTCAGCCGGGTCGTCGGGCCGATGATCTTGTGTCGACATCAACGTCGCCCTCTCCTGCACGGCACAACGCAAACGATGCGAGAGACGCAGCAAGCGGCAGTCGAATTGTCGATGCGCCCGAGAGAAGTGTTTGAGCAAATCGCGCTCTACGGCGTGTCGAATGGACAATCTTATGGGACGGTTGATATGGATGAAATGGGGCGCTTGACCCCTTGTTCCCTATGTTTCACTGTCGTCTGACCGCCATAGATAGGCCGAACAAAATGTCTAACACACCAGTGAAGAAGTCCTCGGTCTAACCTGTTGTTTAATCATGTTAGATACAACACAAATCTTTGCCTAAGCAAAACTCGGGGAAGCTGAGAAAACCGGCCCCCGTCGAAGCTTTTCTGGGGGGAGTAATGAACAATTTATTAGTTTCTGTTCGCCTTCGGTGCGCTTTGGTTTGGCCTAAAAGGCGAATCCCTTTCCTGGGTCTGGCCAGAGGTGTATCGAATAGTTGTTTCTAGCGGCCCTTGCTCAAGGCGAGTCCAGCCGAGGATTCACAGCTTGCTGTCTGCTTGCTCGTAGACTCGTAGCTGTTTCGAGCAAATGGCCCCTAAATCCAGTCTCGGTCTCAAAAACCGCGCCACCTCTACGGACAGTTCCCCCGCGTGCAGAAGCAACCGATAAAGGTACATTGGGGGCCCACCCCAGAAAGCGCACCCTGTCTCTGACCCACAGCCAGCCACATGACCTGGGACCCTCAGACCAGAACCCGGTGGATTAAAACGACAACTGCATTGCCTCCAAGCCCTTGCTAAGAATGGCTCTTGCGGTCAAGTAGTCCAGCGATCCACTTCAAGAAGAAACCGCCGCAGCGCGAAAAAGCCCCCTAGATCCGAAAGGGGGCTGGCCACACACGGAGATAGGACTGGGCGCAAACAAAACACCCGAATTGAAAAAGTTTAGGAAAAAAGAAAAAACAAGCGATGGCGAAAAGCTCACACTTTTCCACATATGACATATGATCCAGTGAACCTTGGCACAGGTAGCAGTCATCTAGCACCAGTACAATTACATCAGGGCTAGGATGCCGTTGCATGGCATTCCAGTAATTGACTGCCCGTACTTCCAAACATGGAATGCAACAAACCAATGGAGTAAACAGCAAACGTGAGAAAGGATTCCGCCAGTCTGTAAGCTTCTCTAAGCCTCAGCCTTGAACCAACACCACTGATGAGTTGCACATAAGCCTTCTTCAAAGAGAGAAACAACGAAACCAAAGTGTGGGAACCTTCCAGGGGTGTCAAAAGTCATTCGCTCCAGCTCCTCAGGCTCAAGCGCCTTCTTCCAAAGAAGGGCTCGACAATCTCCGCAATTGGCAACCAGGAGCTCCAGAGCATCCTGCGGCCATGCGGCCAAAACTCAGATCCCGCTGCAAAGCATCCAGAGTCTATACCTCCCTTGCTCACTCGCGACCTGGCGCCAAAAGGCGCGCCGTCTTGGCCTGCGTCTTGGCCGCGCGCCCGGTCCTGGGAGCCCTCCCTGACGCGCACAACGGTGGCCTCGGAGGCCGGGGCTTCGCCGGACCCTTCGACCCTTCTGTGCAGCTGGCTCTTTGTCGCGACAGGTTTTGTGGCTCAAAACGAGTGAAACAGGGACTTCGTGCTCGGGCGAGCCCGTGCGCAAGTTGGAATTTTCCGTCTGAGGCCTTCTAGACACACCAAAAGGGAGGTCCCCAACTTTGGGACATCTCCGAACCTGCGTGCGCCTAAAAACGTGTTTGAACTTAGGGCAAGTCTAACACCTGCCTGTTTCAGCCTAAACCTTTGAGCCACCCCTCCCCTGTGGTTGGGGTGCCCTACACGGCAGGTTTAGCGCCTGCTTTGTTCCCCAACAAGTGCGCAACACTGAGGGGCTCTAACAGTAAGAGCTGCGGCGGGCTTAGATCGAGGCTTCGCGCGCAAAATGGTGGCACCTTTTTGCGAAACTGGAAACTGGGCTCGCTGCGGCGCCGTGCCAACTTTGTGTGTGGCCATGGCGCGAAGGCCACACACAGTTTTTTTCCCGCAACAGGCGTTGCACCAAACGGGTTGTTGTAAAGAGCCAACGTGTTCTTCACGAGCCAAATGAGCGACTCTATAAACCTGCCCTGAACCCCTATGTCGCATCAAGTTGCTTTCGCGCGAGCTTGCGCTTTCCTTCCGCGACCCATGTTCCAGCTTACGCGGCAGTCCGCGAGCATGTAAACCTTGCGCAGCGCCTACGCGTCGGCGTTTTGAGCGTTTCCCCTCAAGAATTGCTTACGCGGGCTCCTTTTCTCACACAGCCGCCAGAACTGTTCAAGATGATGTGGATGACTCTAAGGAAGAAGATGACGAAGAACTACCCCCGCAAGTTTCAGCGGCTTGGCGTTGTTGCTCGTACTGCAGTCAAGAAACAGGTTCTGCGGCAGCGGCATCCATCACGAGGGCTAGCAGGCAGCCGAGCTAGGCGAGCTTATGCGAACCTTACGCGCCTGATTACGCGAGCTTACGCCCCCGAGCCCGGTTACTGAAGCCTTTGTTTGTCCTAGTAAAGGTTGCAACAGCACCCAGCATGAGCCCCTCCCATTCAAAGTTCTGCTGGTGTTTTTTCTAGTGGTGCGCACATGCGGTCTTAGACATCTTCCTGCAGCCAAACTCTCTGGGCAAGTTGCCAAGCTCGACTAGGTTGCAACAGCACAAGCCACCAAAAAACGCAAAAGCACCTCTGTGAAACAACTCTTCCAAGCATGCTTACAAAGCTTACCAAGCAATCACGAAGAAGAGCTTACGCAGGTACTTACGCAACATGTTTCCCCAAAAAAGTGCTTACGCCGGCTTACGCCGTGCAAAGTTTTGCTTACGCGGGGCCTTGTTATGACACAACTCTTGCTTGGGATGCAACGGGGTGTTTCTAGAGCTGCTCAAACGCATTCTGATGCCAGGGCCACGTCGCGGAAAGGTTGCAGTTGTTTTGCACGACGCATTTCACAAAACACGCATCTTAAGGGAGCCAAACGCGACCCTGACAGCAGGGCCACTTCACAGAGAAGTTGCACGTATTTTTGGACCTGAGGCATCGTGCCAAAGGCTTTTTATTCGCCAAATGGTGTCTCTTTTTTTTCGCCAAATGCATTTGATGGCAGGGCCACGGGCAGGCTGCAACCATGTTTTGTGTGATTAAACTTGCCAAGCTAAAACATGACAATGGGACAGTCGGCTGTGATCCAGAAAGTTGTTTTTGACACGACACTCTCGCGCGAACAGCGCCCTTTTGCGAAAGCACTCTGACCGCGGCACCCTGTCAGTTCATTCTGAAGTTACATTTTCTGGGCCACGTGGAGTTGCACAACCCATCGCGCCAAACATGGTTTTCACGAGCGGGCCACGTTGCGGGAGGCTACAGCTGTTGGAGCTCGAACAACGCGTGTTGTTTACGTGCCTGTACATGGCCATGCAGTCAAGAATGCGCTTGGCGTTTCAACAAATGCACTAGGTGCAACGCGTGCCATCGAAACCATAGTTGCCATCAAACATGAACTTATTTTGCTCTTTAGGCAAATGCCAAGATCATGTAGTTTCATGATCAATTGGCACCGTGCTACAGTGAGAGCGCTTTCGCAAAGGAGCACATCGTGCGATAGAAGACAGCTTTCTGCAATGGCTGCCACCATTTTGCACGCGAATCCTTAACTAAACTCGCCTTTACACTACACCTGTAACACTTCTGAGTGTTGCGCGCAGTGCGGAGAATTATCTCGACAACAGGGCGCACATAGTCGGCGCATTCTTGACTGCAGGGCCACCTCACACAGTGACTTATGGCCGGAGACCATTTGCGTTTCGCATCAGCAGCAGGTCACACGGCGCGTTCCTGGGTATGGCATCTGCGGTGGGGTGCTGCTTTGTTTCTGTTTGATGGCTTGCCAGTTCGGCCTGTGTTTGTGGCTCAGACATTTGATTACGGGCATGTGTCAGGGCTGATATGATCTGCACCCTCCGCCACCACTCCACAAGAGCTGAATGCGGCGACATATGAGTCAGCGTCAAAATTACGTTTCTGGGGTGTACTCATTCTGACGTTAGGATGTCCCGTGTCGGTTTTCAGGTGTGTTTTTCGGGTTGTGGGGTATCGTTTTTTGGACGCCACGTATCGTTTTCCGGACCAAACCACAGTCATTTTGAAGCTGACTCACATGAGATACCGCCACAGTAGAGGAACAGGCACGTACAACAAAACATGTTATGCCATATTACCACCTCTTCGACCCTTGTGAATTTAACCTTCAAGCTAGCCCCTTGAAATGTCAAATCCGCTCCCTGGCGCTTCGATCTGGGCCAAGCACCGTGGTGCCGGCTTCTGTCCGCGGCAGGCGCTCGCGCAGCTCCGCGTCGCAGGCCTTGAAGGCCTCCTGCCACTCGCTGGCAGTCTCCGCCTCACGGCATGTCGTGGCCATGTCGTCATGTCGTGGCCATGTCGTCATGTCGTGTGCCTCAATTTGACAAAACCGCATGGAAGTTTGAGATCGAACAACTTGCAAGCCCCCCCGTTTCGACGCATTGCAACGACGCCGTATGGCATTTTTGAAGCCGGCCAGCCCTGAAACTGCTGCTAAACCAGAGAAAACCACAAGGAAACCTGTGGCATTGGCGGGTGTATCCTATGTGAGGTGCTGCAAGCGCCTTGGCCAAATACAACGGCAGCCTCTCCGCGCAGAAGGCAGCTGCCTCGTCGCCCACGTGGCCGTCTAGCACGCCAACTAGGCCCGCCGTCTGGTCAAAAAAAGTGGGCGTCCTCGAAGCTTCGTCTTTGTCCCTGGTCAGAGCAGCGCACGGTCGTATGTTGACATCCTCTTCGAGGGGCCCCTATACTCAACGCGGCAAACGATTGGATTGTGGACAGGAAAGCCCTTCCCAACAAACTCCAAAAGGGATGCAACGGGGCCACTCACTGATCAAGGTTTCTGGACATCCCAAGATCCAGAGACTTCAAGCAAGCTCTTTTCACTGGGCAGGCGAACGGCATGATAGCTTTGAAGCTGTGCGCAGGCGAAGGCTGAGATAACTTACGCACGCTGACAGACATCCTGAGCCTGGCATCGCTTTCCGAAAGGCACAAGCGTTGAACTGTTCAAATTCTGCGTCCCTGGCCACCCATGCTGAAGCAGACTCTAAGGTTGGTACAACGCACAAGCACAACTCAAATTGAGCAAACCCGAAAAGGCCAGAGGAACCACCTGCAATGAACAGAACATCCACACATCCGCTGCTCGGTTGCTCGCCTGCATGCACAAGGACGCCGCCCGGCCAAGCGTGCCCTCGCTGCGTCGTAGCACCGTGGCCGTCACGGCCTCTCCCAGCACCATCTTTCGCGAAAAGATGCCGAGTCGAAGGAGAAATGCCAAGGCAAGATGCGGGACAGCTGTTCCAGTGCGCGTCGCATTACCTATTGTTGCATGTCCTTGACCGCATGGTGTAGAGTGTGTAACGTCATCTGAAAGCTTGACGCTTGAGCCAGCTGCCGAACATCATCCATGCCAAGCAAAGATAACGGAATCAAGGGAGCAGGAAGCAGAGCGAAGCAGGTCTCTCACCACTGGAGAAAGATCAGGACCCCATCAGTTTATCCTCCAGAAAGATAGCACCAACACAAAGATCAGCATGCCTTAGCATGCCGGCCGGTGTTGAAATCCACACGTTTTGTTTTTCGAGTTAAGTCAATACTCGATCTAGTACCGCTAGTACTAGCATTAGCATTACCACCACCGACTTTTGGACTCCCAATGCAAAATGTAGAGTGGCTGTTTGCCCTGATGCTGTGGACACATCTTAGCAAGGACGTTTGATGGTCTTCCAAGGCAAGACCAAGCTCTTCTGGATAAATCGAGTATACAGATCAGGATGCAATTGCGCCAACTCATCATCTAGTGGCCACCAATGTTTTGTTAAGAGTTCGCAGCGCTTGCTTTGCACTGAGTGCTACTGATGTCAAGACACGCAACACCCAACCTCCCATGGTGTCACTCTCAGGAAGAGGAAGAGAAACGCCAAATGTATGAGACAAACACCCCCTGTCTCTGTGCGGCAAAGGATCACAGCCAAGTCGATAATTGATCTTTTTTCGCAGATGGAGTGAAACATGAAGAGATGGTTGTTGGGAAAAGTGAAGAGGTGGTCAAGCCCAGAGTCCCTCTACTTTGTCTCAAGATAAGGGGACCCCTTTTTGGGGGGTGGATTCCTCACTGATGAATTGGCTCGCAGGATAAAAAAATGATTCACAAAGTGCATATCATGCTGCTATTTACACCAGAAGCACAAGTTTAGCCCACACCTGCCATCTTTGGTTGGTTGGATGTTTTTTTTGTCCACAGGTTCTAGCAAATGACTGGGGAAGGTGCGCTGCCAACGCCCGTCGCTTTTCTCACAGGCGGCTTTGGAGAAATGCAAGCACTGCCGCCTCCACTTCCCTCTCCTCCTCCAGGGTGGGAGTGGGATCCACGATCGTCCCCTCATACTCCCAGCAACACCTCAGACGCCAGAGAACAATTGGCTGTGGGTCAAAAATAGGCACCCAAAATGGACTCTGGCAAATGGAACCAAAGACTAAAACCTGCGGTCTCCTGATGGATTAATTTTGACCCATACCCAATTCATCTAGTGCTACCTTCCCCATTCTTTCCAGGGATCCTTCTTTCTAGAAAACCTCCGGAAACCCAGGAAAACAGAATGGGAAATCAAGCCTTAGAATTACGAGTTGGATTAAAACACCTGCTTCGCTGAACGCCAACGCGCTTTGCCAGTCTCAAGCGCCTTTTGCTGGGCTCTGTCTGTTGGTTGTGAGAAGGATTCCTGAGTACGTTTTGATGAATCCAAGGGTCCGTGTGTTTGTGTGGTTGATCCTTTGATGCAACGGAATATAAGGACCTGGCTGCAATTGAGCCTTGCGTGGAGAGGAAACAATCCAGGATCCTGTTTAAGGCGTCTCTTTCGAAGCTTCTGAACATGAGCGAAGCTGAGAAAGCTGAGCTCTACTGCGCCGTGCCCCATTCACTGACCTACAGTACCAAGAACACCTCTCAATTTCCTCGAATACTTTTTGACGCCTCAAAAACGATTTTGGGTTGCCAAAGGACGGAAAGGCTTCGGCTCACAGGTTCCGAATGCTGGCTGGCACCAGGCCAAGTGATCTAAGGTCATCGGAAATACCGGTAAATGCCATCCTGAAACGGCACGGAGCCGACACAACGGAACGGTTCAGCTCCCAACCAGGGCAGTGGTAGTCTACTGTTCTGGGAAGGGCAGGGTGGGCTGTCTCAATTTACAACCAGGGCCAACTTGCCACTCAAGGCAATCGGCTCGGCAAATCATGTCTTCAACATAGATTGTTTGGAATGTTTGGGGGCGCAGCAAGGAGAGCCTGTCTTATGCCATTAGGCTCTTGCATGCCTCGGCTGAGTTGAGGCAAAAGAGTTACGATCAAAGCACACGTTCATGGCGAATGTGACCTTCGGAGGCAACATTCAACTGCAAAACAAGCCACAGCGTGAATTTTTACCGTGATCTGCCGTGATTTGCTCGCAAGTTTTGTAGTTTGTAGAACCTGATGTTTGAATGTGCTCTCTCGAAGCAACATTGAGGTTTTAGAAAGCTATGTTACAAGCGACCGAAGGTGGACGTCAATTGGATTGTCTGGAAAGGGACCTTCGGCGTGGAGGCAGGCTTTCCTTTTGGGTTTCTCTGAGCTGCCCAAGCTCAATTTGAAAGAAACATTGGTAACTCATTCAAGACATCAAGCCAAACACACGAGAAACCTGCTTCATAGATGAACGTTGTTCTGCAGGTTGCCTGGGGTTTGCCTTGAAGGACATTCACCGCGGCAAAGAGCGCCCTGCCCTTCTTTCGCATGGCCAAGGCTCGCGGAGCTTGCCGCCTCCAGCGGCGGCCCTGGCGAGGAACTCATTTGGTGCAAACATGCACAAACATGTCTGGGGATGTTTGACGTGATCGACTGAATTGTGGTCGACCTCGGGAGCTTCCTTTCAAGGAAGCTCATAAAGCCACTCTAGTCAGGGCCGTTCAAAGGCTCCGGCGCTCTAGCCAAATGCATGTTGGAGAGAAGACTAAGCTGGCGCTGATTTGTGTGAGCTCAATTACGACAGTTTCAGCAAGTTAAAGCTTTTTGTGTCAAGCCAGGCCCAATTCAGAGGCTCGGGGGGCCGGAAAGGAGGCGGCCCCGTGCCCGACCACCAGCTTTCACATAGCTCTTGCCTCCATCCTCCAAGCCGTCCTCCAAGCCGTCCTCCGTGTCAGAAAGCAGGAAGGAGACCTGCGACCTGGAACTGACGGCGTCAAGGTCGTGCGGTCTTAAGGGCTGAAGCGAGGCAAGTCGCGCAACACCTTCGTCAAAACTGTTCAAACCGGTTGGGTAAGCAGGAACCTTAGGAAGGGTTACGCAGGTTCCCACTGTTGATGCCTAAAAAGAACACGGATCGTCAATCAGCTGCAACCAAAGGAAGTGGACGCCAAGGTCTGCAAATCACACAATCATACTGTGGATGGACGATATCCTGCACCAACTAAGAAACCCTAGAATGATATGATCCCCTGTGAATACCAACAAGCAATGGTTTCCCGTGGTCTCTTGGGCGGTGCATGATTTTGTCCATCCACGGTAGGGTTGCCATGGTACGATGTTCACCACCCTCCCTGTTGCGCCAAGCTTTGAAAGTTCTCGCGGCCGAGGCTGGCACCACGCAATGTTCTGCGAGAGGGCGTGGTGCTTTGCGATCTCCTGCGGCGCCACGGCAAAACTGAGCCCGGGCTACGTGCTGATAAAGAAGACACAACAGACATTTCTGGCAATGATGTGCTGAGCAAAAAGTTTGGTAGTCTGCCCTCCTTTTCTTGGGTGTGGTCCCGAAATTCAAGGATGCCCTGTATGGAGGCGCTTTGTCTTTTTGAGATGTTGTCCCAAAAAGAAGCCTTGCTGATCTCCGTATGAAGCACAGGAGCGAGCTGGGGCCGGGATGTCCATTGCAAAACAAAAGGGCCAGCGCCACTTGTGGACCCTCCCATCTGACCTTGACATCCTAAAAACCCACTCAGAGCCATTTGCGCCAAAACCTCAAAGGGTGTCCAAGGCGCCAGATACTGCAAAAATACGCCCCCCCCACCCCCCCCCCGAGGCCGGCGCGACGCAGGGTTCCAAGGGGCGTGGCAGCCCGGCCTCGGGCAAAAGGCGTCAAAAACAGGTCCTGGGATTTGGGCACACCTGCGATGATTCCATCAGGTATCCTAAGTTTATACCATCCTGCCCGCAAATAGGTTCTACACCCATTCATTACACATAAGTGTCAGACCTCATGATCACACATAGGTTGTACGTTCTTCACATAGGTGCTTTCAATTATGTGCTTTCTAATTGTTGTCACAATTT